CGAGCTGACACCATGGTACCGTCGTTCTCATGGTGGATGCCACCGAGGACGTACACCTGGCCTTGGAGAGTGACCGCAGCCGAGAAGCAGCTTCCTCTCGGCAGTGAGGCGCGAGTGTTCCAGGCACTGCCACCCGGAACAAAGCACTGGACTAAGCGGCTGCCTTCTTGGCTGAAAACGGAGTGATGTCCAATGCTGTAAAGAACACCGTTACACAAAACCGTCGAGTGACCTTTTCGCCCATGAAGCATATCCGGTAAATCAAACCATTTATTAATGGCAGGCACGTAGCAGACAGTGTGTTTAATGTTTTGAGTAACATACTTGCTTCCAGTGCCACCACACATAACTACAGCACTGACAAACTCCTTAGGGACTTCCGTACCACTTATGCTAATATGCTCGTGTAAACCGACTGTTTGGAGTGCCTCCTGAACAAGCGACAAACACGTGGTGCTTTCCCGAACGAGCGTTTCTCTGGCTACAATATTCAAAAGAACGTCCCTTGACATTCGTCTCAGGCGAACACAAGAGAAAAGATCTTTAAAATGGCACGCTCTGTTGTCTAAGTCGTGCCTGATCCATCGCACGACCGCACTAAAGACATCCTTCTCATTCGTCACAGCAAGATCATCGTTCGAGATGACCTCCTCCAGCAAAGTCTCCTGTAAACTGAGAAACGACGGAGTGCCAGTAGCTTGCACGAAATTTGCGCTGATGAAACGGCTACAAGACGATTTCAACGCCTGGAGCGAATGCTCGTCGGCCACAGATAGAATGGAGAAGCAGTTGTAAAGGTTCAAGTGCTCTTGCAAGAAGTCTGTGACAGCCTCTTGTAGATCCTCGATTATGAAGTACGTAGCAGCTGTTAAGATTAACTCAGCGTTGTCTCCTAACTGTATTTGTCCCGTGTACATGTAGTCTAAGATATCGCCCACATCATCGGGGTACAGCCATTCCAAATCGACCTCAAAATGATCACTCCTTGGCCGCGAATTAAAACTGAACAGCTTTCGAAAATAATGACTAGAAGCGGCAAGGACAGTGCAGTGTGCAGCAAATTTTCGTCCTCCTTTTACGTTGATGATAACATCACAAAACATTCCTTCCTTTCTGAAATCGTTCATTGTTTGAAGAAGCTGACTTGAATAAGAAATGTTGTTAGCATCGAGAAGCTCTGCAGCTTGACGTTCGCCCTTCATCTTTGTATTCATCAGAGTTACGTAATCAGGACGGTTCAGATTATTCATACTGGGCTTATTTAGCAAGAGAACGTGAACGTCACTTGACGACGGCGCGCGCAGTACAATACCCAAATATGGTCAGAT